ATATATTAGGATAAGAGTGACATAATCAATTTTCTGGAAATGATGATCTTTTGGTCATGGGATATTATTATCGCATCTTTATGATGCAATGAGATTGACTTTTATCGCATGTGTTTGATGCGATGAGTTTGAGATGGGTGAAATGAGTTATTTTTTTCGCATCCTTGAGGTGCGAGGAAAAGTGTTTACCGCATACTTGAGATGCGACAAGATGGGGTTATCGCACCAGTGTGGTGCGAGGAGTTGTGGTTATCGCATGCTTGGGGTGCGACAAGTTTGTTTATCACATTTGAATGATGCAAGGAAATGGGTTATCGTATTTGAATGATACGAATAAATATTTTCTCGCATCAATGGGATGCGACAAGTCGGTGTATTATATGTTTGATGCTACAAGTTTGATATATCATGTGTTTGAGGTGATGAAATGAGGCTGTCTCGACTATATGATACGACAAACAAAGGTTTGTTAAAATAAATGATAATTGCATATTATATTTTCAAAAGTATTTTGGTGATTTTTACCCTGTAATAGCAATCAAGGATTTTACTCACTAGACCTTATGGGTTAACCCTCGTTTTATTTTAAAAAATGTGCATCACAGGTTGGGCACATGTGAAAGGTAAAAGGAAAGGAAATATGTGAAGTGATTTATTATTACTTTGCGTCTATGGATTTTTGGGAAGCTGAATATGTACATGACTTGTGAATTTATACTTATGTGAGCAAAAAGTTTGTAGCTACCTTTATATGTAGCAATATGTGTACTTCTGGGACTAATGTGTATATTTGTATCTTATGTTATATGGAATATATGTGTTTTATGCAAATGGGAGTTGAGGTATTACAAGGACCCTAGTAATGAATTTTAGGATTTAAGACAGCATCCTAACCAATATGAAACTACAAGGAGGAAATTTGTAATTTTAAGTAATCTTTCTTAAATATTAAACATGGAATCAATTTGAAAATTTGATATTTGGTTCAATATTAAAACCGAACCAATTCGACGTGGTTTGATGGTTAAATGCATTGAAATTAGCTTTTCTAATTGCTAATTTAGGTCCACATTTATGTGATTTGAGTAGCTGTCTTTGGTTGATATATATTTAATGTCATTCCCTTTGGTTTAGCCTATAAATACCACAATAACATGTTTCCATTTCAGTACCATAAACCATCCATTAATTAGTTGATCATACATCATGGCGATTGTTACAAGTGAGTTAGAGGTTCCTTCTTCGGTTTCTGCTTCCAAACTTTTCAAGGCGTTCCTTGATTTTCGYAACCTTGCACCGAAGGTTGAGCCTGAATCTTTTAAGGCCATAGATTACATCAAAGGTGATGGAGGCATTGGAACAATCCAACAAACTACTTTCGTTGACGGTAAGTAATTTCATTTCCAACAAGATGGTGCTTAATGAGTAGACAACTTCATACACATATAACATGTTCGATTCATTTTTAAATTAGTCATGTGGGTGTAGAAACCTTCTTTAAAATATTTCTTATCATATTAACATTTGATTGATGCAGGCTCTAAAACAAAGCTCACAGTTGATGCTATTGATCATAATAATTTCTCTTTTAGTACAACGATTATTGAAGGTGGTGAATGGATGGACAATCTAGAGTCTGTTACCCATCACGTGAACTTTGTACCTTCTGCAACTAACGACAGCTCAACATATAAGGTCTCATCTGTGTATAAGTGCAAAGATCCTGCTAAATTTACAGAAGAAAATGCTAAGTTTGGTGACGAATATATCAAAAAAACTTTCAAGGCTATCGAGGCATACATCGTTGCAAATCCAAATGCATATTGATGTTGGACACATTTTCCATCTTCACTCTGTTTTTCATATGCAGTACTATGTTTTCTTTTATAAATAAGGCGATCAATAATAAAATATAAGTTCATTTGTTAATATTTAGTTCTTATTCATATAATTTCGAAAATCATATATTTGGTTGATTTTTATTTCACTAGTTTCCACTTTCGACGAACATAAACTTTGGCCAATTTGCAATTTACGATTAAACATTCTCTCACAATTTCAGTTGCATGATTCTTGTCGATAATGTCTTATGTGTAAGCAACCTCCATCACCAAATCGATTTTTTAGCATAGAATTTTCTTTGCCAAAGTAAAGGAAAATACATATTTTCTTTGCCAAAAATAAAATTAAACAACGGTTGGCAATCATCATAAGATACTTCATACTTGTAAAATTGTTTGGGACATTGTATATATGTAACCGGTCTTATAATCGATTAAAGGTTTGGAATTAAAATATTATAAGAAAATTCTTTAAATTTCTACAATTTTATATGTGGATTTAAAAAAATACAAACTTTCTCTACAAAAATTGCATTATTATGCAGGTATTCACAGTCGTAAAATATCAACGAGTTCCATTTTCTTGAAAGACATTTGAAGTTTTTATATTCTTGACGAAAACTTGTTTCATAAACGGGTATCCACATCATCCAATGTTATAAAATCAACAGATTAACAGTCAAAATAGTTACAAAATAAAAAGAACGAAACCTTTTTACATCAAGTGAGAAAAAATTTGTTAAATATAAACAGAGACATACTTTGTTGCATTTTGTCGCACTTTATATTGGAGTACATTTATGTGATACATTTATATAAAAAAGTTAGACTTGACCCATGGGTTAAAAGATTTGTGTTTCACCTCCTCTTTTCCAAAATAAACCACGTATTGTATGCATCAGTTGTTCATAACATCATCATTCAACAAATCACAATCGAATAGAACATTTATATTGTATTCAACCCAAAAATATCACATCAAAGTCAGCTTAGTGTATAGATCTTCTTGTCTTGGTTCTCATAACGTCTGCATTCCGTTTTTGCAATTAAAGATACGAAAGTACCAACTTCTTGGCTCTATTTATTGATGGATTTTCGAGGAAAGGATAACCATTGGTGACTCTTTGCCAATTACAGAAGGACTAGCGACAAGTTGCAATTACTTAATTTAATAATCCAAGTGTAATACCTACAGGTTTTTATTTTTGTTTTAATTTATGTATCCGTTGATAACATGTCAATGAACGCCATCTTTTTTAGAAATAGTTACTGAAATATTTTTTTGAGAAAACTCATCAGTTAATCTGTCCATAATTTGCATTGATTAAAGAATGATTTCCGACAACCATATACTTTAATTTAATTTATTGTTTTATTTTATATTTTATCGATGCTTAAGTTGTTTTTTTTCCTCTAAATGGATGGTAATGAATTCTAATGGGTCTTGATAGGTCTTAAGAAAACTGACTGTAATCCATCATCCTCCTCCCCTACTCATGCACCTCTTGATTTGGCTCAAAGTTCCAAAGATATGAGGCATGGTTTGACGGCGAGTTCAAACTTCAAGTCTTACAAATGAAGGCAAGACTATAACGTTTTTCAAGGCGTGCCTTAAGACGATATATATATATATATATATATATTATATATAGGGGAGCGATCAAATGAAAACCACTCAATTTGTAAAAACCTCATTCCACCAATCATAATTTTTTATTTTGTTCATTTTTTTGTAATTATGAGAAGTTGAATAATAATTTTTATTGTGAAAGATGTTAATCATGGATATTATCATCTTCATTATTTTAATTTTAGAGAAATACATGAAACAATTTTATTAAAATTTCATTAAGTAGTATATGTAATAATTTCGTAACCATATATGAAACAACTTCATCAAAAAAGTATTATATGAAACAATTTCACAAGATTAAACAATTTCATGAAAAAATTTCATAAGATTAAGACGGATGATAGTAGTTTTTACTGTTTTTACAAGTTGA